TGGGCTCCGGCCTGCGCTGTACCGGGACCGGCCGGCTTGCAGGCCGAGGCCGGGGCGGCGGCTGGAGGCCCGGGCGGCGGCGGGAGGCCGGGGACGCGCAGGGCACGGGAAGCTGTCAGCGCGCCGCCGGGCCGCTCGGGTGGCGAAACCTCCTCTTCCTGCGCCGCTCGCCGCTGTGCTTCTCTCTCTTTCTCTCTCTCTCACTCTCTCACTTCCTGGCTGGAAATTCCCACTGACGTCGAGAGAGCAGACAGACGGACGGAGGAGGCCCGGGCGGCGGCGGGAGGCCGGGGACGCGCAGGGCACGGGAAGCTGTCAGCGCGCCGCCGGGCCGCTCGGGTGGCGAAACCTCCTCTTCCTGCGCCGCTCGCCGCTGTGCTTCTCTCTCTTTCTCTCTCTCTCACTCTCTCACTTCCTGGCTGGAAATTCCCACTGACGTCGAGAGAGCAGACAGACGGACGGACCCACGCGCGCGGCGGGGGCGGGAGGTGAGGTCGCCGCCGGGGGTGGGGGAAGCCCGCGCCGGCCCGACACCCCTGGACCCCGAGCCCCGACGGCTGCAGCGTCTGCGACGCCCCCGGGAAGCGCCTGCGGGGCCGGGCGGGTGGAGGCGGGCGGCGCCCGGGGCGCAGTGGGACAGCTGGGGGACCCGGGCCGCCAGACGCCCCAGCCCGTCTCATCTGCATATTCCGTTCGAGGGGGTCTCGTTTACACTCGCGCCTCGTCACAGCTAATCCGGAATTTCGATCTCATAGCTGACGCCTCTCCAGAGTACTATGAATGTATACTGGTTTGTGGTGAGGTCTTAAATGTGGTTATTCAGTTACTTCATCCACTGCGCATTGTCGAGCCGGTGTGATCCTTGCTGTGGCTGGAAGTAGAGCAGTAATCGTTTTGGTTCACAGCTCATAAATCCTCCTCTGGCTCCTGGGAGGTTATTTTTTCTGGAGAAGCCTCCCAGTGTCCGCCATTCGCCGGCATTTGACCTTTTTCACATGTTGGGTCTCACCCCAGGTCGACAAAGTAACCCAACTCAGTTTTGAACTGAAACATATTTTAGAGCTAAATGATCCACTCCTGAGTTCACTTTGAAACACCAGAAACCAGATGGTGTTACTCTGGTAGGTACTTGGATCTCCAACCTAGTTGGCCCTCTATCCACCGCTTTCCAGCCTTCTACCCATGAAGTTTTAAGAAACTTCTGGGTCGGGTGTTGGTAAAGGAACAGAGGTCCATTTTCATTGAGTATTGGGGTCCTCAGATGACCTTAATCTATCTTCAAACTAATCTATCTTCAAACTATTTCATTTAGATCCCAGAGGCTGTTTGAACAGGTAGAATTCAGAAGCTTCATAGGGATGGAAGACAGTTACTTCTTAGAAATGCCGTTTTTATTTATAGGACATTAGAAAGTGTGCCCCTAGGGGCTGGGAAGATGGTTCTGTCTGTAAAGTGCCAGCTACACAGGTGTGAGGACCTAAGTTGGGATCCTGAGCACTCAGGTAAAAGTGGGTGTGAGTAGGGGAATCTGTAACCCCAGTGCTGGTGGAGACAGGCAGATCCCTGGAACTCACTGGCCCCGGTAGCCAGTGTGAGCTCCAAGTACAGTGAGTTAAATGGGTCTCAAAAATCCCATTATTTTTTAGTAGATTGAAATAGTGCATATAAGATGATGATTGTTGTTGGGGACGTGAATGCAAAGTCTACAAGTTTCCACAAAACAACAAAGTGTAAGGTGTTTTTCTTCTCTTCATACGCAAGATGTGAACCAGAAAACTCCAGTCTACAGCCCCATTGCTGAAGACAAATTAGATTGTTACAAAAGTAGGGTCAGTGTGACATGTTTGAAAACAAAAGTTGAAGACTATTCATTAGCAAGAAGTATCAAATTAAATTTATTTTATTTCAAATTATGTGTATTTCTGTGTGTTGGTACATGCATGTGTGAGTGCAGGTGCCTGTGGAGACCAGAAGGAGTCAGATTCCCTGGAACTGAGTTATAGGCAACAGATACTGAGAAGTGAACTGCAGTCCTCTGCAAGAGCAGTACTTGTTTCTAAGCACTCAGCCATCTCTCCAACCCCCTCTTTCCTTTTATTCAAAAACTAGTCATTGCATCTAGAACTAACTCTAAATCCAGCGTGACCACCTCTTTACTTGGTAATTTCTGCAAAGACCCGTTTCCAAATACGATCATGTTCATGGGTATCTTTGCTTAGTACTTAAAGACATCCTTTCGTGAGTTTCAGCTCATTGCAGTGTAGCAGGCTAAACTATAAAGCCTCCTGGTTTTTCTTTTTTGGAACCCCCATTAACTTTGGGGTGTTCCTGCTTTGATGCCAGACATTTTCTCTTTGTTCTACAAACCTGGTTTCAGGATTGTGACAATTTCAGCCACTTTAAGGTGTCAAGAGGTATTTGTCATGGTCAGGATACAAAGAAAAACAATGCTTAAATATGGAAATTTGGACACTATTCTAAATACTATTATGAAGACAGGTTCTATTTGTTGCTGAGTCCCTGAAATAATGTGAATTTCCCTTCTCCTGCAGTTCAGTATTAGGAATGGTGTGAAGAGAATTCCGGGGATGAGAGCTGCATAGTGCATATGTTAATAGTGAGTGAGGAAGAGTCATAAATACAGACTTATAAACCTGAGCCTTGCTGGCTCTAAGCTCTATGTTGAGAGTGTACAGGAGGGAAATGTATTTCTATAAAGGATACAACTTGCTTCTGGCCACAGAACCACCTCAGTGTGCTTAAAATGGGTCATGCCTTGGCTTTCGAAGCCAAGATGAAATGGAAGGACTGTGCTGGACTTGAAATCAGTCTTGAATTATCTCTGTAATTTTTATCAATTATTAGTTTTTGAGTCCCCATTTCTTCACTAGTACAATAAGCCTAGAGTTATACCTCATAAACTGTATGATAGCTTTGTATAATGTTTTGCTTTATATATGTTCTAGTTATCTTTCTATTGCTGTGATAAAAACACTGACCAAAACTGACTTGAAGGGAAAAGGGTTTATTTCACCTTCGGCTTACAAGTCCTCATGGAGAGAAGCCAAGGCAGGCGCTCAGGGCAGGAACCAAAGTACAGAGATGGGGAGGAGCTCTGCTCACTGGCATACTCCTCCAGCCTGTGCTCAGCCTGTTTTCTTTCTTTCTTTCTTTCTTTTTTTAAAATTTTTATTTACTATTTGTTTGTTTGTTTGTTTATTTTATGTGTATGAGTGTATTGCCTGGATGTATGTGAGTGCACCCGTGTCGTGCAATGCCACGGAAGTCAGAAGAGGGCTTTGGATTCCCTTGGAACTAGAGTTAAGGATGGTTTGTAGCTGCCATGTGGGTGCTGGGAATCGAACCCAGGTCCTGGACCACCTGCTCAGGGGTGGCACCACCCACAACATCATTCAACAATCAAGAAAATGCTCCACATTTAGGCCAATTCAATGAAAGAAATTCCTCAGTTTATGTTCCTTCTACCCAAGTGTGTGTCAAGTTGACAACTAAAGCTATCCAGCACATATTCCAACATATATGTGGAATACATACGTGAACAATAACAGCATATATGTTCTATTAAAACACTTTTAATTCACAGTTTTATATACTAAAGGCTGCTAGAGAATGCTAAGGACTTATACAGGTGTAAACAGTTGTTAGGGTAACTTTAAAGTAAAATAAATAGAAATAAATAAATCACTTTCCTCTTAAGTTTAAGGACTACAAATGCTTGCTGCTGACCACCCACCACAGCATACACTCATTATGCTACATCACCCCCTATTGACAATGTATTTCATTTTACTTCCATGAAAATGCTTGCCACATTCTGTCCTGTGCTTGAACAGTAAGCTGATCTTATTGAGCAAGCACTCAATTAGCCTCTATAAGTGGTTTTAAAAGGGAAAGAAGATACAATCACTACTCTTAACATAAAGTTTGAAAGAATGACCCCTTGTCTAATAGCCAAGACAAAAGTGATTTGTGTAATAGATTTTATCACTAAGAGTGACTCCAACAAAAGAGAGCAAAAATGTGTTCCTGATCCAGAGAATCCAGACTATTTTCCCTTTCCCAACAAAGAGACACTGAAATGGAGACATCAGTAATGGAAAAGAGAATGCCACTGATCTCACAGGGTATCTCCTGTTAGTTTAAATGAATATTTATACACTACTGTCACTGTCTTCAATGAGTTCAAAAACCCAAAGAAGTGTATAATAGTGTACAAGGCAGAGTGCAATAAATGCTTTCAAGGAGTTATAATTGATGGCTTAGGAAGAGATAAGAGTGTTAGGAAGATTTCCTAGTATTAAAGCCCTCAGGCTGTGAAATCCAGGGCTGCCATCAAATTTGAATCCAGTGCCTCATTATACCCTTAAAGAAAAGAATTCATTCTTGTTCTGCCTGAGTCTCTGTTTGACCTAATCAAGCTACCTAACCATTCCAGGCTTCCTTTCATTCATCTCTAAAGTCAAATACGGATAATGGCCCCTCACAGTAATGTTGTAAGGGTGAAATGAGATTGTATATACCAAGCACTTACTATGGTGCTGGAGTCTCACAAAACAATCATTTATATCTGTGATCGTTAATTATATCATAATTCCTCAGAGGAAAAACTTGGTGAAGAGGCTGTTGGAATCGCGGATATAATATGAAGACAAAATAAACAAGTGAAAGAAAACAGATGGGTGAGTGGGAGTGATGCTTAAAAGGATGAAATTTGCATTGAAAGCACAGTTTGTAACACAGTTTCATAACACCTAAAATATATTCCACAAGTAATAAACGATGTTCAAAAAGATTATTTAAAAGTGAGAGTTTGGTAGTGGTTCAGTGGTAGAACACATGCCTAACACCCAAGAGGTCCTGGGTTCAATCCCTGGCACTGAAAACACCCAGCGTATTATAACAAAACAAGCATTTAGGCATCAAT